AATAACGCCCATTAAATTTGACAATACTATGAAATTTATCTAGTGAATCGAAACAATTGCAATGGACCATAAAAGTGAATGGAACTGATGCTGTATTTATCAAATCGGAAAGTGACCAACTATAGTTAATAATAATGACGGCAACCTAGAAATACTCGTAGATAAGATAATGCTACAAAAGCAGTTCAGAAGATTTAGGTAAATTCAGTAGATTAATGTTCTTTACTTGGTCAAATATACTAGATTCTAAATTTGTAATACGGGAAATACTGTATGAAAAATCTCTTAAAGTTTCGGTACTGGTTACATACTACGAAACGAAAATGTAAATGAATGGGATGTACAAATCAGTGATACTAGATTTAAACGACTTTGTAAATCTTTAAAATTGTTTAGAGATATAGAAGAAATATCACCTACTGTTCGCACATTGCTTGCCGGTGGTGTAATTATAAATAAAATTACCGCTCTCACTGTCTAGTACCGTCCGGCCAACGCTCCAGTAATAAGTTAGGTAATTACATTATTTTTAGTAAAACGTAGGTCAAGATCGTGGACGTTACTTTCCACCGAGAAGAAAGTTGGTGCTGTAATAAAATGTGAGGCTGTGCAGTGAACATAACAGAGGTAACGGTAACAGGTGTCTGGCGATTTACGGAAATTATGCAAAATATTACAAATCTAAAAAATATAGCAATATCTGATTCCCCATAAAGATAAAGTCAAGTCAACTTTTTAGCTCCCAATATCCAGTATTTGAAAAGCATACTACTCAATTCATAAATGAATTTTCCCTCTGCATACACTGTATATTCTTAATCTTTGTTTACAGCATCACATTATGTATGATATGTAGTATCCAGTAGTTTTTATAGTAAATTGTTCGCCTATTGTCAAGCGACTGATAGGTTTTTATGTTCTGGAGTGAACAAAGAACGGGTTTGTATTTAAAGTTTATTTCTGTGTCCGTTTTAATGGTGACTTATGCTACCGGCAACAGTTGTTGCCATTGTACTCACGGAATTACTTGAGTGAACAATATGGATTTAGGATATTGACTGTGGACAGTTTAAACTTATGGTCTTGTTATTTTGTACGCACTTATTTTGAATTCAGGGTATGATCTGAGAGAGCACTACTAAGTGAATGTCTAGATGTAGAAGAAATACACAGGTCTTCTTACTGTCATTTACATTTGGGCATTGAATCGTACCGAACGGTAAGAATATCACCATTTTATGAAGTTTGAAATATTGATTGATACACTACATCTATTTCACTATTTTAATATTAGTAAGGATGTGTGGTTCAGAGGTTATCCTAGTCTTGTCTCAATAACGTACAAATCAACTGAATTTGACCACCCTAGGGTCAAAATATAATTCATATAATATTTTTTCCTTCTTCGTCTATTAGGTAGATTATTATCAAAAAGTATTGGACACGTATTTTTCCTTTTTTTACACAATCAAATCATAAAGGGGAGACTGATGTTAAATTTAGTTTTAAGTTTAGATAAATATGTCAGAATCGACACCATTAGACACCTAAGTTTACAGAATAAACACAAAATAAGTAGGCGAAGTTCCCTCGTCTCATATTCCGATTACTGCAATGTGCACGACGGATTGAAATTGTTAACACAAGTGGTGTCATTAAATTGCTTGATGTTAAAACCACTGACGCCGTTATAACGCGGTCTCGCAATGTTAACCTTAATCTAACTTGCTCAGTTTCTAAACGATCCCGTGATATAAGAACTAAGTCAGCTAACGACGGTTTCTCTCATTGATTGACATAATATAAGGAATTGAGAGAAATTATGTCTGAGTAAATTAAAATTAAATCTAAAGAAAAGTTTACTAAAAAAAAACCACGAGGACCAGGCAGCGGGCGGGACTCGAACCCGCACCCTTCGCAATCCGGGCGAATGCACTGACCATTATGCTACCACGGCCCTATTGGCCGCGTCGAAATTTTCCTAGCCTTAAGCTGCAAGGCAGCGCCATCTCTTCGCATTGTAGGTAATCCACAATGTCAAATGAATACTTTTTCAAGTTTTAAACATTTGAAAAAAGAAATAGCAATTAAAGTTATGTTTTTATTTATTTTTAAGCATTTAATTGCTAGATGTTTAAATATAAAGAAAACTTTTCTTTAGATTCGACGTGGCCAATAGGGCCGTGGTAGCATAATGGTCAGTGCATTCGCCCGGATTGCGAAGGGTGCGGGTTCGAGTCCCGTCCGCTGCCTGGTCCGCGTGAATTTTTTTTTTAGTAAACTTAAAAATAAATAAATAAAAACATAAATTAAAGTTAAATCAAATCCATGAAAGACAACAGCCGGATTAAAAAAAAATTAGTCGGACATACTCGTAAGATGTGCTCTAGATATTGGCTAATTTTCATTTGTTGGGTGTCATATCGCTCCTGCTGTCTATGATAATAGCACAGCCACCGACATCGGTAAGTGTTGTCGGAGAGCTTTTTAATTCGAAGGATCCAGGGTTTTTCAAGAAAATTAACTTAAAATTTAGCATTTGCACCTCTATAATTTTGGAGCAAATTCTACAAATATGATGAACCCACACTCACCCACAGTAATATAGGCGAATTGAGGGATTAGTGAATCTTTCACGCTTCTTAGGCTAGATTCCTAGGTCAAGACCTTAGGAAGCTAACCTAGGATAGGAAGCCTAGGAAGCTCCCGTCATTTTACTCTCATTATGTTGATAAATTAAAAAAATGTTCGACAATTTGGGACTAATTGAGATGTGGTAATGTATTTTTCGCCTATAATGTTTAATACATGTAAATCTTTCTTTTTTGAAACATACATTAAAAGCGATTAAGCTGTGATAAGTATGTCTTGCTGGCATGGATTATTCAAGCAAAGAATCTGTCCGAAACTATGTTAATAAAAACACGATCATCATCAGCCTATTAATGTCCCCACTGCTGGGGTACAGGCCTTCCCTATGGAACAGGGAGATTGGGCCATGACCCACCATGCGGGGCCCAGTGCGGATTGGCGGGTGCTAACGACTGCAGATGCAGCCGGGACCAACGGCTTAACGTGCCTTCCGAAGCACGTAAAATAATTGAAATATATTTTAGATGTGAGAGTAGATTCCGCAATCGTGCGTAAGCACTAATTAACATATCAACGTGTTGCATTTAACACGACAAGTATTTCCAATTACGTAGAACCTGAAGGTAAAGAATCTCTATTAGAAGTAAATTTGATTAACAAATATATTTGAGTTGCGTATCTATTGAATTCCCGAGGTAATTAGTATTCGAAACCGCTGCGGCGTTTTCGTTCGCAGAATCGCCTTATGCGTCAACCATTGTAAGTACCGTAAGGAATGAAAATATTATGATCAATGCGGTTGCTTTCTCAACACATAACTATCGTAAACTGTGACAAGACGAGATACCTGGCAGGTGTTTTAAGGAGTTTTGCCGAGTCAATTCAAGTTATATCTTTAGAAATTTTAAGATTGCTATTTTCATTTTCAAACTCATTTAGAGTACATGGGGCATGATATGCATAGAAAGCCAGTATTATTATTACATACAATTACAATCATCGTCATCATCATTAGCCTATTAATGTCCCCACTGCTGGGGCACAGGCCTTCCCTATGGATGGAATAGGGAGATTGGGCCATGACCCACCACGCGGGCCCAGTGCGGATTGTCGGGTGCTAACGACTGCAGATGCAACCGGGACAAACGGCTTAATGTGCCTTCCGAAGCACGGAGGAGCTCGAGATAGTAAATTTTTGGTCACCCATCCAATGACCGACCACTGCGAAAGTTGCTTAACTTCAACGATCGCAGCCGAACGCGCTAACCAGTTGTGCCATCGAGCTCCTCAATCCTCCTACAATTACAAACAAACGCTTATAACAGTGTTTGATCAGAACTTTAGAGCAGAAGTCAGAGTCGCTTCTGTTGTCATTTATTTTTTCTTCCAGTTGTTATTTTTAGCTGTCAGTTTTGGCTACTGTTAATTTAATGAAATATCATTTAAGACGTTCAAATAAATCGTTGGGAACTTTTTAATCATTCATGGTTTGAAGATTTTTAATAGAAGTACTTTTGTGCCAAAAGATTTCTATCTGTACAGGGTTTGGATATTTGGAGATGAAAAAATTAAAATAACCGGCACCAGACAGAAGCCATAATCATAACACGTTGAACAAAACAAATATAGCCCGTGAACACCCCATCCCCATTGATGTTTCCAACAGTTTTGGAAATACATTCTTTTAAATACAAATGATTTTGAACTTTATCTTTACAGCTTTAAGTTCCGATGCACCGAACAGTATAATACACTACTACGAACAAAACTTCCGGTAGTTAAACGTCTTCATTTGACAGAGTGCCTTTTCTTGTAGGAACGTAGCTTAGCTTCACTGCGACGTCAATGGCTTCTATTATTTTCACATTTTTGTTAGGTTGTGCTTTACATGTGTGCAGTGAGTGCTTCTAAATTGCATTTTGCTAAGTGGAAAGTGACACTATCAGCAGTTAGTGTAGAAACTTTTACATTAGCTAATGGGAAAGCTTGCAGACTATTGATGTCAGTTTTTTCGCTACGGTCAATTTCAAATTGCATTGTAGACCAATGGACACTTTTACCTTCGATGAATAGAAAACAATGAATTGTTATGTTACTAGTAGTAGTGTAAATAAAATGGTAATTAGAGTGGGTTATTATGATGAATGATCAGATAAATTGTGGGTGTACGGCGGTAAAAAGTTGGCCATGAATATATGCCTGAAAATATCGAGGAACCGTATGCGTGATCTATTTTAGTGTAACAACCAAGGCTGGTTGGTTTTCATTCATAAACCAGCCGGTTTTACAACGACTGAACGTAAATAAAATAAAAAAAATTAAACTCGGGGCGTAATTACAACGGTATAACAATTGAGTGGTGCAGCCGCCATGAAAAAGGCAGCGGTGCCTGAAATTGCAAGAAGTACCCTCTGTCTGGTCACTCCATGATGGTCTTGTGCAGAATCGCTCGTGCGAAACGATTTCTACGCATTCCGCCGATAGAATAGGTTGATTATTCAATTAAGCCTATTTTCCTTTGTTTTTCTTAAACAACAAACAAACACAGATTCACTTTCGGTCAATGTCCAATTTAAATTTGAATTTAGAAACTTAGAATAAAAAACTAAAAGTTAAAAATAAAAAAAAAACAACGCAAGTTTTGTAATTTGAATAAACGCATTCGAAATTCAAAAGGCGCGCGCCCGCGTCGGGAGTGTGCGCGCTGTGCCCGCGTGTTGCGGAGACTGAAGCGGCGTGTACGCAATGCAGGTTGGTTGGACTCGCGCATACAATTACATGCAGTGTGGTGGGATATTGTTTCAGACAACATGAGATTATGAAGCTATCAGGTTCATTGGCACTAGATAAACTTAAATAAAATTGAAAAAAAAAATACCAGGATTGGGAATGAAAGAAAAACAAAAGGTGCCAGCTTTCCTGTATGTTGTGGACGCGTGTAGCGTTTTTTGATGCCAAAGTTAAGAGGCTATATAAAACACGAAATATCCGTGTGAATTCGACATGGCTGATAAAACTCATTCCGCCTTATTACAATACGTAAACTAAAGTTAAACCTGTAAAACTGATGTATACTAAAAAGAAGACAGAAGCAACATTAGGTTTAAACTAAAACTAACTTTAGTTCAGGTTTTGAAATAAGCTGGACAGAAATGTGTGTGCTGGGTTCAGACGCGGTTTGTAAACCAGAAAGTGATTTCACAATGGCGAATGACATTAAGAACCTGTGCAGCGCGTCCCACGGCTACCTCACACGGAGGGAAAGTATATTAAAAATTGAAGATAGGACATTTTAGTGAAAGAAGACTTCATTTTATTTTTAATAATAACTAGAACTGCATTCTCAGATTTTTTCAAAATCGCCTGCTACAACTGGGAATCAAACTCGTGAAATTTCGAAAAAAATAACATGACATATTTTATGATAACCATGGAAAGGGTTAATCATAAGAATTATTTTTTGCTAAATAACAAAGCATTTAAAATGAAAGTAATGTAAATTACGTTATAAAAATAATAAAGTGATTTACAAACTGTAGTACGTATGCATTTCTTTTTGAACTCACAGTTACAATGCGACTGGCAAAAATTTGTAATAATACATAATTCGAAAATGGAACACATACATTTTCAAGTGTCTGTTCTTTTCTTTTTTGTGAGTTTCATTTTCATTTATTTGCAATTTTTCGTTAATTTACTTACCATGGCTTATTAAAATCTTTCTCTATCTCTATCTTTCTTTCATTATTTAAACACATATCAAGAAGGTTTGTCTTTATCAGGATATCGTTTGCGGTACCACCGCTAAGCTAATGATATGTCTTTGTGGTTCATAAAGTAAGATTACATTAAATCTATTTTATTTTGATGCGCCATAGTAAGTAAGTTAACAAAAAATTGCAAATAAACGAAAATGAAACTCACGAAAAACAAAAGAACACAGGCTTGAAAATTTATATGGTCCATTTTCGAATTATTATTACATATTTCAGGCAATCGCATTGTAACTGAATTCAAAAAGAAATGCATACGTACTACAATTTGAGTATCACTTTATTATTTTTATCACGTAATAAGACATTCCTTTTATTTAAAATGCTATGTTTTTTAGCAAAACATAATCCTTATAATTAACCCTTTCGATGCTTATCATAAAATATGTCATGTTTTTTTTTCGAAATTCCGCGAGTTTGATTCCCAGTTGTAGCAGGCGATTTTAATAAAATCTGTAAATGCAGTTCTAGTTATTATTAATAATAAAATGACATACATCTTTCAGTAAAATATCCTATCTTCAATATATAATAAACTTTCCCTCCGTGTGACGTAGCCGTGGGACGCCCTGTATATTATTTTGGACTTAGGCAGGAATAGAGGAGATGGATCACCATCGAAATTTGATACTAAATTCGTTGTTATAATCTATTATAAATCTACGAGATGGTAAATATCTACTGACGGCAGTTTTGGAACCTGTTGGAAAGGGAAAGGTTAGCAAAGGCCTATATAATGAGATAAAGGTAATAATTTACAATATGTCAACCCCTTGACTTGACACGCCTCCACACCTTGTTAAGTGGTGTGAAACTACGACATAAAGTATTAAATTGTATGACATCCAATTAAAGCATAATAAAATTATTACCATAAAACCTTACACAACTTTTCGCGTGTAACTATTACCCATATTTGTAGTTATTACAACAATGCGAGCACCCAGCACGACACGTTTAAAAGTATTCTCATAATTCATGCTAACGCTTTTTGATGCGCCATTTGTAAATAACATAAAAGACAGTATTATCGTAAATTATGCAACTTTCATTCAATGAGCACATCTGATAGGTCAATATAACAGCAGAGACCATCAACAGTCAGCGGAGCGTGTCACGAAACCACGCGAGAAAGTGCATAATGATCTTCTTCTAGCTGTTGCAAGCACTATGGTCGCAAAGACTACAATTGAAGTCACCACATCAAGAAGAAAGGCATATTTATATTTGACTAGCGGCCCGCCCTCGCTTCGCTTCGGTGTAGAGCTAAAGTGTAGACTACAGTTTTTGTTCTCAGGCTTGTATTGATCACAATGACATTCATCTATGATTCTTCTTATAGCTGCATGCAAAGTCTCAGCCCGATCGGTTTAAAATTGACAAAGTTTCATACAAACTTTCATTCCCTATTTTATCCCCTTGGGGGTAGAATTGATCAAAATCCTTTCTTAACGGCTGCCTACGTCATAACATCTACCTGCATGCCAAATTTCAGCACGATCCGTCCAGTGGTTGTGTGTGTTGTGCTGGTGGCTGTGCATTGATAGATCACTATGTCAGGCAGTCACCTTTGAGTTTTATATATATAGATAAAAGTTTGGGTTAATCATGTGTTAGCCGAAACTGGACGTGGAGAGGGTAAAGTTAGTTCTGATTGGTTTTCATTTTAGATGTCTTTCGTATATAGCGTCAATCTTATTGAATGCGAATGCTGATCGTGAGAAAAATGAATAAAAAATAAATATCTTAATTGGCAAGTTTCAGTAATTGATTTACACTCTAGTAGGACGAAGATGCTTAAAATAGGTTTAGTAAATTAAATTATGCATAACCTACAAAGTTTTGACTATTAGTCACCGCTTTTCCCCAGAGTGCTTCTGAAACATCTCTTCAGTTTCTGCAAGAAACCTGAACAAACCTGAATATGTGTATTCATGCTTACAGTGTTGCAGTTTTTAAGATTAAATTGATCTTTGAAGCCTCTGCGCGAACGAATTGACAGATTTGCTTATTTCTTTTGTCAGTCTTCTTTCATAGATTTATTCAGAGTGACAAAATTATCAAATTTGGTCACTTTATCTTCTTCAGCCCACAGTGTTCCTTTATCACGTCATTCCTCAGACTGTAATTACTTTAGATTAAAACAAAAAGGGTAGATACGGTACGCTCATACTTGCATCAAAGAAAAACTGATCCCACGGCAGCGCGAACGGGACGGCAAGAGCCTCGTCACTGCATTACCGACCCGAACGAAACAGCACGTTAAGTTTCAACGGCAGCGCAAACGAGACGGCGAGATCCGCGTCACTGCATTACCGACCAATCAGGCGACTAGTACTCGACGTCACTACCGAATAAGATTCAAAACAAACAACATTTTTTATGAAAAAATATATTTTATAGTACTTACGAATGAAAAGTGATGCCTTGGGTTTTATTTTTAGTTCTTGAGCAATTTGAGCACTTTTTAAAAACACACTTAGGGATTGGTTTTATCATATAAACACAAATATTAGCAGTATTTCTTTTTGGCGTTCACATGTCAAGTTGTGACTAAAGCGATTAGGGTTGTGGACCACAATTGGTGCGGATCACTTTTGTGAGGCTAGTGCCGTATCTACCCCTTTTGTTTTAATCTAAGGTAATTACTGCCTAAAACTCTTAGGTATGGCGTATGCGGTTACTCCGTCTTCGATCGCGCAATCGCTGTGGTGCTTTAACCCTAATTTCCATAAAGCAGCACTTGTTTATGGTTATCGAATTACCGAAACTTAAACCCGTGTTTATTGAAGTAACAAGTAATTAAATAAGACGCAAGTTGTTCAATCTATGTGCATTAGTAACATAAGATTGAATTCTAATTAAAAGCAATGATTTAGACAGCTATAATAAATATACCAGAGAGAAACTTTCATATTTGCCCTCCTCAATAACAGGGCGTTATAAAATGCAATAATAGTTTAGAGGAATGAATCTTTATAGTTATTACGATAATGTTTGAATACAGTGGCTTAGGAGCAAAGGTAAGGCTAACATAAAATAGGCAAATTAATATGGTAAGGCCGTATACAGAAAGAAAGCCGAAAGCCGATCGGCGCTTATCGGCGCCTATCGGCGCCGATCCTTCCTACATAAAGGAAGCCGATTAAAGCAGATCAAGCAAAATGTCGGACTCATCGGACGATGATTTGGTTTTGTTAGAAAATGTTTATTTAAAAATGCGAAAAACAGCTATACATCCTATAAATAGAGAAAGGAAACGTTTCGGAGAATACCATCATTTATTTGTGAAAAAAAAATTAAATTTGATGAACAAAGATTTTATACATATACAAGAATGATTCAAGAAACATTTTATTACATTTTGGATTTAGTGAAAAACCGTTTGATGAAAAATTGGGGCAATTGGCATAAACAACCAATCCTTCCAGAAGAAAGACTTGTTGTCACCATTCGGTAAGTACGTAACAAATAATTTTAGCGTTTAGTTAATAAAAGATAAAGTTATTAGATTTATAAAAAGATTATAACTTAGATTGATTTAATCTAAGGATAATAATTCAAATACAAATTATTTATTACTCGGACCAGCGCGTGTCGGCGCCGGTCCATAGAAAAAGGATCAGCGTCAATAGGCGCCGATAAGCGCCGATCGGCGCTGATCGGCGCCGATCGGCTTTCGGCTTTCTTTCTGTATACGGCCTAAGGCTGGTATAGCAAACAAATAGGAGTTATAAATTGTGAAACCTGCAAAGAGCCGAAGCTATGCAATGCATATGAAAGGCTTCGCATTTAAATCGACTAGGGAACTGTGCACATAAATGATCGCTGCATGAACATGGCAGACTGCAAAGAAAAACAAATTGTGAATGGATGATGGATGATATTCATAAAAGAAATTGCATCAATTCCGGGATTCATTTCAAGAAAGTCTTTAGTCGGTTTGCATGTCAATTTAATAAGTGAACTACTAATGTAGCGTAGCTAAGGACTAACAACTGCCTAAAATATTAACAAGAATAAGTTATTTTTAAGTGGCTGTGACTGCAAGTGAGAGCACCTTTGGGCGATGTACATGAACGTAGACGAGTCTACAAGGAGAGAAAGACACAGAGATGCAAAAGACCGTGAATGATATATTTAAACATAGAGTTAATTTTGATGTCTGATGACAAAGTATGTTACCCAGTAAAAAAACATGATGCGCTGATCACAAATAAATTAGGACCAGCGCAGGCGTAAGATAAGACTACTTTATACTT